CCTGCACCTTTCCATAAATGCACACATATATGGCATATATTGACCATGACCTAGAACATACACCTTCTACCTGCAGATATACCAGGATGTCTCAGATCTCTGACTTTAGTTGTACCTATTTTTTACCATTATTTCCCTGTCAGTAAATAAGAGTAAATGAGTACCATTTCTGTCTCCTGCAAGGCCTGTCATCCATCTTTCTTATTAAAAATGCAGCAACAACAACAAAAACAAATTTAAACAAACAACTACTGCACAAGTTTCTGCATAAAAATGCCACATGGATGACTGGTCATCCTTGGAAGTGGTTCTTAGCTGTCAGATAGTAAAACACCTACAGAGGCTAGTAGATTAAGGGGGGGGTCCCAGGTATCTGCCTATCTGCAGTGCAATTCTGAATAGTGTCAAAACCTTACTCATTATAGTAAGGATAAGCTAGTTTGATACTGTGCTCACAAGATGATGCTGCACCACACCTCAGTGAAACAGTTTCCTGCATACCCTTTCTCTGTATTGTTGTATAAGCCAAAACGTGTGCCAGAAGCTGCAGTGAGACAGAGCATGTTTCCTTTCCTGGAAAACCCACTACAGGCTGGTTCTTTCACTGCAGTGCTCTCCAAGCCTAAACACAAAGCACATACCCCTAGTGGCACCCAGCCTCTCTTGGCTCCTCCCTCTCCACAAACCCTGACCATTTCATGGCTACAGTGGGTGTTTCCTGTTTATCACTGACTGTCAGAAAAACCCAAATTGCCAGACTTCTGCAGAAATGCAAAACTGGCTGTAGTGCAACATTGCTTCTGCAGCTGTTAAGGCTTTTTGTTTGCTGAGTATTAATAGGAGATGAGTTCTGTTCCGCTGGCATTCATGTTGTAATTTGGAAGCAATTCCCTCTCTGGCTCATACCAGTTACATATCTATCTGGCAACATTATGTTGCAAGTTTGTGAAATCCAAAGCAGAAAGGCATGTGCTTCTCTGGGAAAGATATTAATCCTTTTCAAGGTGAAAAAGTAGATCACTAAAACAAACACAAACTTTAAACATCTGTGGTATCTGAAAATGCTGTATGGGTATGAGTAAAGAAATTATTTTTGTTTAGAAAACAGATAAGGCCCTGTAGATGCTCTCAATGCAGGCTATCAGCAAATTGAAAAGCAACACATATTTTGCCCAAATACCCCCAAAAACATAGAAGCATGTTTCAAAAAAAAGAAAACTATTTTGCATTGTGACTGACCTACCTCACAAAAAGCATTTTCTTAACCAAGTGAGATTTTAAATACACCTGAAAAAGGTACATTTAATGGCTCTGACTGGGCAGTCCACTGAGAATACTGTGAAAGTACAGCTTAAACAACAGAGAAGCATCTGAAATTTCAGAATTTCAGTTTTATGAAAGAACAAGAAGGCCAATTAAGGCAGAAAAGCATTGAAATTTCTTTCCATGTTTTCCTTCGTGTTCTCCACTCGTGATGCACTTCTCATTGCTCGTTTCTTCTTCCCATAGCAGCACGTGCACAATTTCTTTCTAGTGTGGTCCTTTAGGCTGACCCTCTTGGCCAGTAATTATCATTATAATTGTGTTGGATAAATTTCTGCTGTGATAATCTGCTACCATGAAGAAAATAACCTGCAGACACTTTTCCTTTTACTCACGCCTATTTCAGGTCCCAGACCATCGCATTCCAATTACTATCTACAGTGATTAGATGTCAGTAATCTGTTAAGTACCTGAAGAGTGGCATAATGACTACAGGTTACATGGTAAGAGCGTCATATTTCATTTGCTTGTTAGTTTTCAAAAATGTAGGAAAGAAAGGATAACTAATTGGGGGACATTAAGGCTTTTGAACAAAATGCTCCCAAATATTTTATATATGCCTCCATAATCAATACAGAAATGAATACTAATTCTCTATTTACACTTGACCTCCTTTCTAATGCTTCTTTTTTTCATATAAATGGGAATTTCACTGTTACAAATCAGCTAGTCTTTAATACCTTTGATTTTTCAAGTTGCCCCACATAGCTCTTTAATTAAAAAAGGCTCAAAGTTATATTTTTAAGCTCTTTTTGTCAAATGGCTGGCTGGTCACAGCATAAGGGTAATTTCCTTAAATGTGGTATAAAAACAACCCGGGGGGAGTCCTACAGTCTAACTGTACACAATAGAAAAACTTTGACTCCTGAGGTTGGCCAGGATGATTCCCATGGTCCCTCTATAATAATCCTAATACAATAGCACCACCAAAAATATTAAACCTTTATATATTTCAAGACCAGGAACCACACCAGTCTGTATGGGATGCCTGAAATTCTTGAGAAACTTAAATTCTCTATATAAAGCTGATTCTTTATTTGGCCATGCAGCAATCTCCCCTTTATCATAGCTCCTACCAGCTATCATGGGCCAAACACTGCAGTGTATACCTCAACCTTTTCTGAAGCTCTGTGTGGTTGATTAATAGCCAATATTGACTCGTGGTGAAAAGATACCAAAGTACAAACAATTACAGGAAAAGTAAAAGAAGAAATTAAAAGCTGCCTTTGCAACTGAGCTACTCTGTTTTATAGAGAATTAATGCTGTAATCAGCAATGCTCCAGTCAATAGCAAGTTAAGGGAATTAAAACATATTACATGGAAAAACAATACAGATACCTTGAAAATAAATTACCATATCTTAGCTACATTTCTTATCTGAGTTTGATTTTGATGACCAGTATCTTTCTGATTCTTGCACACCATATTGTGTGCTATGCAACATAAAAGGAAGATATGATCTCTGTCCAAAAAATAACAGACTGAAGGAAGATTGTTTACACCATCCTCTTTGGATAGAAAATACTTGAGGTTTTCAGACACTGCAGCTTTTAACATAACATTTAATCAACTGCAAAGCTGTGTTCTTCCATATATAAGACTCAACAATGAGCAGGAATCCTCAAATGTGCCTTTAGAGATATAAAATTGACATACATCAACATTCTTCACCACTTTAACTTCCCACTTCAGTAGTCAAGTAGCTCTAAGAATATCCACATGTGCTGCTATTTACTACTGCCTACTTCATTTTCTCCTATTTTAATTCTGGACAAGGCAATGATTTGTCCTTGATGAGTGCACTGGCGCAATCTCAGGGCTGACATTCACAACCTAATGGTACCAGCATAACAAATTACCAAGAGGTAGCAACTTACCAACCATGGGCTGCCCAACTATGGTGTAGTACAACTTATTTTAAGCATCAGTGAAGGATGGTTATGCTAATTTGCATTTTCTTACAGTAGGGCAAGTGAAGAATGCACATGCAATCAATTAACAAAAGCTACTGTGTCTCAGCTAATGGGGGCAACCTATTAACCTGACATAATTCATTGTGCAGTTGAGCCCTTAATGAAAAGTGGCCCAGCTAAAGAGGCTTTTATATTGTGGATCACGCAAGAAAGCTACTAGCAGCCTAGTAAACTTCCTCAATAAACCAAGGTACTAAGGTCTCCTCAAAATTCAGTCTGGGATTTTGTATCTTCTTTCCACGCTTCTTTAACAGCTAAAAGAAAATATGATCAGTCTCAAAGATTAGTGACCATGGCTCAAAGCAGCTGCAAATTAGAGTCTGCTTTACAAGTTAGATCCTGCAATGAATTTCTGTCCCAAAACCAGGATAACTACACCCACCGTTCTTATATATTAAACAGTTTCCCATCCATGTATTTTTAAAAACACAAGATATAAGCATCCTGTATGTCCTGTAGACATTTCAGCGGCTCCCTTAATTCTTTAGAGTAGCATTCTCAATTTAGTTAAACACCAGGAATTACAGATCATCAGCAATGCCTCATATTGCAAAGAGATAACCTGTTTCTAGGACTGAGTATCTGTAAAATGTTTACATGTAGCATCCTTGCTGATACCAGATACTTAAGGTAAATGTTGTAGATAAAAGAAGTATAACTCTTGTCCTTTACAAATCCTTTAGAATATAGGTTATATCAAAGATTCCTTTGATTGCTCTCAAATTCAGACAGTCTTAAACACATATACCTGACTGTCAAGCAATTTATAAATGCTTTTACCAAATGTCTGAATTTTGTCCAGGAGGCTCAGATAGATCATTGGAAACATTCAGTACAATTGTAAAACTGAAATTGCTACTCTTCATGCTTAACTCCTCCTTAAGGATACATGTGGCTCTTTCACTGCAGATGTTTTGCTATAGATCTCAGTCCAGTCTTTTGAGTACCCTATTTCTATTCTCCAAAGATGACCACGAATTCCATTCACACTAGCACGTGGCAACTCTTTGAAAATAGGAAGGACTCGAATGGTCAGAGACATGGGACAGTCAGGGCTGGAAATGTTAACTTGCTGTATAAGGTACGTAGTTCTTTGCAGAAGCAAATTCAGTGTTTCTGCATTTTCTTTGCTAAGGGGGTGGAAAAGAGTTACACTGCATTGCATCAGATGCCCTGGGTAATATATTAATATTATGAGGAACAATTAATTTGAAATTAATGTACCTTGCTGCAACTACATACTGTTATACCTTTATTGGTCTAGATGATAATCAGAACTCGACTCTTTTTACTTTTGAATCCACCTGAATCTGGTGGAAGCTGGATACACCAGGAAGTTTTCCAATTAAAAGCTGGTGTGATTGAGATTACGCCCCTGAGTTAATACCATACTAAAGTTAATGCAGCTCATAGCGAATGATATAGTCCAAATAGCAGCAAATTGCGTAAAACATGTATTCATAACTGTATTTTAAAAAAAAAAAGTAAATAAGTCAATGCCCACAAATGTTTGCAGAAATTGCAGGTTTCTATTCCGCCAAGTGATTCAGTTTCTTTCAATACATTTGAAGATTTTGGTAACATTTTTGGCCTTTCCTAAGAGACATATTGGGCATAAAAACATCATAAAAACAAATATAACAGTTCAATTATCTTTCTGCAGTGACTGAATTATAGCATAGCAGAATTGGAAAAATACTTACGCTCCACAAAGTAAGAGCTGGCATCAATCTTCCAGATAATCTGTCCACGGTGAGAGCCATTGACACCGCGGTTCTTGTAGTCCAGAAAGTTTTCAGACAAGACCTCATCTACAAATAAAGAAAACAGTCTCATCAAGAGCCTGTTATGACAATATGCATAGCAGAGAGTCAGGCTGAAAATAAGCCATTGGCTTGACAGGATATGACTGCTAGGCAGCTTGGCACCACATGTTGAGAAATTAGCTTTATCACTCATTTATATTTTTAAAAGTGCAGACTTTCTTAAAAATAACATCTTTTCCTGAAATCTAATTTTAAAAAATGCATCCCTACAAAATTCTCAAACATGAAAACATCTAGCTTACCATGGATAAACCACTACCTAATTAAAATAATTATTTTAATCTAATAATAACATAGAATTATCCTCCTCCTTTGCACCAACTCTTCCTTTAAAAAAGCCCCACAGAAAATAGTTACATGCAGGTGTCTGTACTACATTTACTTGTACCACAACAGATGTGGTTATTTCTTGCAGCGTACCACAAGGGACAATTATTTTTGAAGAATCCCACTCACCGGGTGCCTTCACAACCCTCGGCCTCCAGAACTGTTGTTGACTGACAACAAAACACTGTCCTCTTGCAGTGTTTGAGCCACCTAGCAGCTGTCAGACTACCAACCTCATCTTCAGAGAAGTCAAGGAATAACCTATAAAAATTAATAACCTCTAAGAAGTTGCTGAGAACCAAGGCTGAAGAAGAGACCCCCTTGCACATGCAGGTCTGTGTGTAAATAAAAGGTGGGCAGGTAGTGAGCCTGAGGAGCGGATTTTTGGTTGTCCACAGGTGTAAATTTTTAGTCTGTTTCCAAGTTTCATTTTACACTGCCTCAAAAAGCTGTTTTCCAGACCACTCTCAATCTGCAAGCCCCATGTGGTGCAGATGTGAGCAAACACATCCCAGCCTCCAAGCAAGGGCATGGTTCTGGACCCCTTTTTATCAAACAGCTCAAAAACCAGCCAGTGGGACCATGCTGCAGCCTCAGGTCCACACTCACCAACTTACTAGCTTATGCCCCACTTTCAAGCACATAAAAAGGCACATATTGCCACCATAACAGGCCAGCACTCGTAGTTTTCACCGTCACTAAATACAAAAATAAAATAGTCATATGGAGACATTTCCAGCCGGTCACAGAGGAGTGGGGCTCGCGGGTCGTCCGAAATGGCCGCGAACTGAAGTGGCTGAAGCAGCAACCTCGGATGGGCTGGGCCGTGGCCTCATTGCTCCAGCTTCAGGGGGATGGATTTCACATCTGTGCTCCGACAAAGCAAAAGGCCACAATCTTTGCCTGCAGAGACCAGCCAGCAATCTCCCAGATTTTTCCTTTTAGAGATAAGGACAGTTTTAATTTTAACAGAGATTTGTAAAACTGTGCCTTAACCAACTCAACCTTGCTACAGAAACAGTCCTGGGTGGGTGCTGAGACTCTCTTCTGAAGACAATTATATTAATTATTAGTCACCCTAAAAACTGAGAAAAAATGTGAACCACTCAATCTGAGATTAAAATACATCAATTGTAAACACTGGGATGAATTGGCTTTGTTGTTACATATATCAACAAGAAAACAAAGATAATGCCACCCATACAACAAGGGTCACTGTGCCTGAGGACAGACTGATGGTGTGACCAAATGCAGAGCAAAAGACACAGTCCAACAGACACAGCTGAGAAACTCAAAGACTATCACATTAGTTAAAAAAAGGAAACTTTAAATTGAAGGAAACTACACTTTCTCTGAAAGAGTAAAGCAGCAAGAAGATGTCGACATTGTCCCATTGGTTTTACACAGTCATGCTCTCAAAGGAGGAAGGTAAGCGGGTACCAACACTGAACTGTTCAATGCTACTCTCTTGAGAGATTTACAACAGAAATCCTTTTAAAGAAGTCATTAACGATTGCAATGGATAATTATAAATAGCAATGCTATCTACAATAAATTTTTCCTTTGCTGACTTGCTAATTGTTAGAAATTATTTCACTTAGCTGCGTTTCATGCTTTGTATTGAAGTATACCTCTGCAGTAACCCTTCAATAGTAAAATCCTCTGGTATGATTTCTGCTCTTCTGCTATACTTTATAGCTGGTTCTGTCTTCTTTTAAATTCCATATTATTTATATTAAAAAAGGCAGATAAGTATACAACCATTACTCTCAGAGTTTGGTTTACTAAGGAATCCCTTCAGTGTAGGACCATCCTAGATACAGATTATCGAAGATTACCCACATCATTCTGTGGAAGTAGGAACACGTGTACATGAGAGAAAACTTAAACTTATTAACTGTCCCTTTTTGCTTTAGCAGGGAAAACATTTCATACTTAAAGATGAGCACATACTGAAATGCTGCTCTGAGATGGAGCCTGGGAACCCTGCCTGGCTCTCATCCTGCTGGGGTGCTGAGAACATCCCTCAGTTCCAGCATGCTGCTCTCTGGCTTCATCACTTCTGATATTTATTTGTCCTATTTAGTCTCTGTAAGCTGCTGGAGATGCTCCAACACCTGCCATGTTATTAAGATGTATGGGTAATCACTGTTCCTCAAAATATATTGTTTATGAAATACCATGCCTGCTTAAGGAGGCTTAGTTGAGCTGGACTGGATGGCCTTGTTTAAGAAATTGCAGACATTTTTAAGCTAGAGTTTAGTGGCACAAGACATCTCAGAATCAGCTTTAAAATACTCTGTTCATACACAGTATCTGAGGGGGCCAGCTGGCACTGCCACTGCATGGGCTGTTGTCCTCTTCCCGCAGCTGGCACAAAGGCAGCGTGAACTCTGCATCACGTAACCTCTCTATCTTGACAGAGGGGTTGACATATGCCCATATCCAAACTAAATCCCATTCCTATTGCAAGCTGAGCCAGTGGGGAGGACTGCAAAAAGCTGTTTCCTCCTTTCTGTTGAAAATGTACGGGAAGTCTGGAAAACCAGGCTGAGAAGGAAGGTCACTATCCATCTGCATGTCCAAGGTAGAAGAGCACAGAAGGGAAGGGATAAGCAAGCTTATCCCTTATGGTTACAGCTGACAGGTGAAACCATAGGAAAGCTGGAACAAGCTGCTCCCACTGAATAGCACCTGCACGCTGCCTCCTGCCATGGAGGCAAGAGACAGGGCTGTGCAGGAAGGACAGCGTCCAGAGCAAAGCAGGTCCCCAAGGAAGGGATACACACATGGAACTAGCCATGTGCACACAGTTTATGGACAGTGACCACTGAAATACACACTCAGGCAGCAGAAAGGATATTTTAATATGACTTTATGGAGCTCTGCAATATGCAGGTCACCTCAAAAAGGAGCAGCGGAGCCTTTAAGTATAAAACCAATTTTCTATACAAAACGTATTTGTCATGATTTAGAAATCCAGTATGTAGATTCTTCTCACAGTCAGTTTTAAACCCTGACTGTCTCTTTTGAAAGGCTAGGTACTTTCCTGTTTCCAAAGAAATAAAACTTATTTTTAGTCCAGTAGGAATTCATGTTCATTGGGATTTTTAAACCAGACAAATTTTATCTCTAGAAAAATACATTCAGGTCCAAAAGGGAAATCTTGCTCTTTCATTTTTTGACGGTATGTATTTTTGGGAGGTGGAAGATAAGAAAGAAATATCCTCTGGCAAGTCAAAAATAGAAGTAGTTGAAACTCGTCAGGAGGCTGGAATGTATGAATATGCCTGATCGACCTGTTTTAATTGGCAAATGATACTATTCCAGGCATGCTATTCCTGGAACATGGACATTATGTATGTAGCACATTGACAAAGAAAATTGTGCATGTGAAATACAAAGCTGTTAAGTGGACTACAGATATGTGCATATGTATGTACCTATATTTATCAACATTCATGCCATACGTAAGTGAATAGATGGTGTGGTATGTAAAGGAGAAAGAGTATGTGCAAAGGAAAATAAATTTAATTTCCTGTTTCTACTGAAAATCCCTATAACAAAGGAACTGACCTTTAAAACATGTTGCATCTTAATTCCCAAAGGTAAATGGTGAAATGCCTCATTTCACCTCCACACAAAAAGAAGAGCAGAGTTAATGCTGCTCCCTTTCATATATTTCAGCCAGCAGCTAATGGCTTTTGACATTTTTCCAATGAGGCATTATAACGCATCTCCCTCCCTCTATTTTTGAAATGCGATTAACCTTTAAACTAGCTCTCTATTTCCTCTGCATAGCCTGGGTTTGGCCCCGCTTGGCCAAAAACACTTTGCCATTGCCCTCAGATCTGTGGCTTCATTTCCCTGCATGGTAAACAGCTAACTAATTAGGAAAGTGTAAAACGAGGGAGTATTCAGCATGTGCTGCACTTTGAAAATCATTAGTTGCTCCTGGAGCTAGAGACAGGGATGGTGAGGGTGTCTGAGATGGGGAGCTAGCAGATATTGCTCTCTGGTTCTCCTGCTCTCGGGCACACAGAAGCATCGGCTGCCTCCTGCTGAAGCAGCCACAGACCTGCAGAGCTGCACTGGGACAGGAGCAGCAGCTCCCACAGACCTCCCACACCTCACACAGTCCCCTAGAGGAAACTGAGAAGGTGATGAATGACCCAGAGCCAGGCAGCTGGGGCCTGAATAGCAGCCAGAGGGACCAAGACATGCTAGAAACAAGTGGTTTGGGAACCAACAGCAATTCTGATGGACTATTTCTCCTCACTAAGCCAGATACCTCCAAGCACAGCATTTTACTGCTAAAAATATTCTGTGCTGTCACTTCCATGCTGGGCATCCCAATATACTTCAAAAGCACTAGAGAGAGAGAAAGAGAGAGTGTGTTAAAGAAAGCTATCTTTCAGATGAAAGACAGTATCCAGCTGACAAAAAGCATGCTGTTCTTCAGAGGAATTAGGGAAAATGTTGATTGAGGCCACCCCTCCAAAAGATCCGTAAAATATGTAATGGTGACTTTAAGTGCTATCAGCAGCCTACACTAAACAGACAGGACTTCTGTATTTGAAAGCTTGCCTGAAATTCCCACAGAGAAACAGACAGTCAACACATCTTCCTCAGAAGGACTGATGGAGTTCAAATTACAA